TTTAGACATGATATTATAAGATAAGTAATTAATAAAGTATAAAAGACAATAGTTTAGATATTTGAGATTTATAGAAGTCGTGATAAAATTTTAGGTTAAGGATAAGTTCATAGGTAATTAATATACAATCATAGGGCAGTATAGAAATGTAGTAAGGTTATAAGAATTATAAAAATAAATAGTATAAAATTAAGGTAATAAAATTAAGTCATTTAAGTAAACTTATAGATTATAGTATAGTGTTAAGTTAATAATATTAATCATCAAAAATATTAAAAGTTAGTAAAATTGGATTGAACTTAGAGTTAACTTGGAAAGTTTTTAAATCAGGGTTTAGAACATAGAGTATAATATGAATGATTTATTGAACATTGTGGAAAACATTTTGAACAATCTGTATTGAAATTGTGCACCTGTGATTCATACATCATGGAATTGTAATTGTTCACTGGGAACTTGGAAGTCTTATGAAGGTACATGATTTGTAAAGCGTGTTACACATCAATGAATTTGTATGCCCCCAGCAAGTAATTGTCACACTGCTGGAGATTATAGAAAATGGTATATAAGTTGGAAAAAGTTTGAATAAAATTGGCTTCAGTCTTGGCCAGACTGTTCCCAGAAGAGCTGCCTCCGTGTGGTTTCTTCTCTCCGTTCTGATTCACCGGTGCGGTCCTAACCCCCCCTTGGTCAGTGCAGGTCACCGACAGTGTGTGTGTGTTTGCTAATTTTTATTATTTTTTGGATGATTTTTCAAAGAATTAGAACATATATGTGTTCCCCAGTCTAGAAGGGAGCATATATATATGTTCTAATTCTTTAAAAACTCGTCAAAAAAATAATAAAAGTGAACACTTCCAAATTCATTCTATGAAGCCAGAATCATCCTGATACTAAAGCCAGACAAAGACACAACAAGAAAAGAAAACTACAGGCCAACACTCCTGAAGAACATGGATGGGGTCATGGGTTTACACTTATCTCCAAACACATTAAGATGAAGCTATTTAATATCTACAGCTTTGCATGTCAATCATGCTTTAATAAAACAACTTTTTAAAGGTAAAAGAAAGAAAGTTAAAAATTATATTATAGGTCTAGTTTTATAGAATAACTTTGTTAGACATAATCTTTTTAAATGAAATAAATTGTTTAGTTATTTAATTTTCATTTGGGCCATAAATCTTTCAACAAAAATTCTATTTCACATCTTTCAAAGATGAATTCACAGCAGAATATCAATCATTTCACCTCACAATTTTATAAGATGCAAAAATTCCAAAATACTTCTCAAGAAAATGTATAGTAAGCTATATTAGATATAAAGAGATTTTTTAAAGTATGATTAAGAAGAGGTTAAAGAAAAGCAAAGTACATATCAAAAATTCTGTTGTTTCTCTGTTTCTCCACTATTAAAAGCAAATATTTATTTTGTATGAAAAAATTGAAGGATAAAAAATTTTCAACTAGATGCTAGCAGATCAGATCCAACAACACATATCAAAAATCATCCACCATGACCAAGTAAGCTTCATCCCTGGGATGCAGGGCTGGTTCATTATCTGCAAGACCATAAATATAATTAAATACATCAACTGATGCAAAAACAAGGATCACATGATTATATCATTAGATGTGGAAAAAGCTTTCAAAAAAATCCAGCATCCCTTCTTGATAAAAACCCTTGAACACCTAGGCATAGGGGGAACACACTCCCAAATAGTAAGAGCCATCTATGATAAACCCACAGCCAATATATTGTTAAATAGACAGAATTTGGAAGCATATCCACTGAAAACCAGAAGACAAGGCTGCCCACTCTCACCCCTTCTGTTCAACATAGTATTAGAGCAATCAGACAAGAGAAGGAAATAAGGGGTATCCAAATAGGAAAAGCGTAAGTCAAGTTATCCCTCTTTGCTGACTATATGATCCTATGCCTCAAAAATCCAAGAGACTCTGTCACAAACCTCCTTGCACTGATAAAACACTCTGGCAAAGTCTCAGGGTACAAAGTAGATGTGCAAAAGACAGCCACTTTCTTATACAACAACAACAAACAGGCAGAGAACCAAATAAAATGCATAATCACATTAACAATAGCCATGAAAAAAAAATAAATACCTCAGCATCTTCCTAACTGGAGAAGTGAAAGATCTTTACAAAGCACTGCTCAGAGAAATCAAAGGTGACACAAACAAGTGGGAAAATATTCCATGTTTATGAATAGGAAGAATCAACATTATTAAGATGTCCATCACACCCAAGGCAACCTACAGATTCAAAGCAATACCCATTAAAGTACCAACATCATTCTTCTGAGACCTGGAAGCAACAATACAGAAATTCATATGGAAACATAAACAACCACGAGTAACCAAAACAATCCTTAGCAAAAGAAACAAAGCAGGAAGTATCACACTTTCAGACTTCAAACTTTACTATAAGGCTACGGTAATCAAAACAGCCTGGTATTGGTACAAGAACAGGCATACAGACCAATGGAATAGGATAGAGAGTCCAGAAGCAAAACCTCAATTTCTCAGACAACTTGTCTTTGACAAAGCCTCCACCATCAACTGCTGGGGAGAGGAGAACCTATTCAGTAAGCGGTGCTGGGAAAACTGACCACATGCAGAAGAATAAAACAGGACCCTACCCATCACCATACACAAAAATCAGCTCCAAATGGATCAAAGACCTACTTTAAGAATCTTAGAAAACACAGGAGACATCCTGATCAAAAGCTTATGCCATAAGAGATAAGATAGACAAGTGGGATCTCACCAAACTGATAAGCTTCTACAAAGCAAAAAAAAAAAAAAAAAAAATTGAGAGAGTGGGGAGACAGCCCACAAAATGGGAAAAAATATTTGTCAGTTGCATATCTGACAAAGGCCTAATATCCAGGATCTACAAGGAACTAAAATATGCTGAAGGGGAAAAAAATCAAACAGCCCCATTTAAAAAGTGGACAAAAGACATGAATAAACACTTCTCAAAAGAAGACATATGAACAGCCAACATGTACGTGAAAAAGTGCTCAGCCTCAGTAATCATCAGAGAAATGCAAATCAAAACCACATTGAGATACCACCTAACTCCAATAAGAATGACCGTAATAGGCAACCCCTTCAAGTCCCCTCACACTGTGGGAACTTTTTTGTCCTTTCAATAAGTCCTGCTTTCTGAAAAAAAAAAAAGGCCATCATTAATTAAACAGAAAATAACAGGTGCCGGTGAGGGTGTGGAGAAAAGGAAATGCTTCTACACTGTTTGCTGGAATGCAAACTAGTTAAACCTCATGGAAAACAGTGTGGCAATTTCTAAAAGACCTAGAAATTGACCTTCCACATATTCCCAGAAACTCCCCTACTGAGAATATACCCAGAGGAACTTAAATCACTATACAAAAAAGATACCTGCGCCTGCATGTTTATTGCAGCACTGTTCACAATTTCAAAAATATGGAGCCAACTGTGCTGCCCATCGAAAATGGGCTCGATTAAAAAAAGGTGGTACATACACATGATGGAATATTATGCAACCAAAAAGGACAAAATTATGGACTTTACAGCAACTTGGATGGATTTAGAGTCTATAATACTCAGTGATCTGTCACAGAAACAAAGAACTGAGTACCACACGTTCTCCCTCATAAATGGACCCTGAACATTTACCATAATACTATAAAAAAGAGATTGGCAGTAGCTGGAAACTGCTAGGGGAGGGAGTTGCACATATCATCAATAAGCGTACCTGATCTCAAACCAGGTAATTTCTCTTTTCTGCTGGTCAAAAGCCATTTGCTGATACTACACACATTTAATAGGTATATACATATATAATATGCACATATTTCATTTTAATAAAACATTTGAACATTGTATTACTGTAAAATAGAGAATCAGAGAAAATTGATCAGTATGTTGAAATGATAAAAAGTCCCTTTGAGTCAGGGATATTTTCTAGCACATGGAAAATCTGTGAGTCATTGGGTGTGGAGATTACCAGGTCGTACTTACTCTTTCTGACACTCATGAACTTAAATCAACTGAGACCAGTGTGATCTCATTTTTAAGTATAAAGAAAGAGATGGCACATACCTAACATTCCAGAGAAGCATTAAATTCTAACATCTAACTGAAATTGCTTCTTCTGCCATTCGTATCTATTTCTTCTAGTGTAAACTACAACAGAGAACTAAAATCGCCAAATAATTCAGACCAGGAGAATTAAATGCTCTGTTGAGTCTCTGAGGCTTCAGAAGCTGTATTATGTTGTAAAAAATTGAGCTGAGTTTTGAAGTTGTCATATCACATGAAGCTGTCCTGCTGGGGTGAATCCCTGAAATAGCCTATTAAATGTCAACACTTTGATAAGAAGGATATAAAGCCAGAAGTTGCAAATGAAGAAGGAATAAAAACCATAAAAGATGAAAGGAAATTCACTTTGCAATGTCATAAATACATACACGCTATGCCCGTTATTACACTAAGTGTTGTTTAAGTCACCCTTTCAATTATAAAATGTGTGAGGGGTGCAGACCAAAAGTAAAACTGAGAGTGCAGAGGTGGGCTCTGTGTTGTCAAGGAGAAATTGGGGAATTAATTAGGCTTTGAAGAAAGTAGAGACATTTTATCCAACAAAACAAAGCAACTTAAAAAAAAATGTCTCTGATTTCCCCATTTGTCAGTCTATTTGTGTGGAAACTTACCATTTCATAATTTCCTCATTTTGTTGTTTCCTGGAATAAAGAGAACTGACATGCTATTCAGTAAACTCCCTTGTCCTCCTTATGCAAGAAAGAAAATCTTGACTTAAGGTGCAGCCACAGAACAGATTAATATTCTCTGTCTATTAGAGTTGGGCTTCCTAAAAGACGGATAACGCATTCATCCGTCAAGATTCATTTTTCCCGAATTTTGCCAACACAATACTCCTGGACTCAGAAACTGAGACAAGACAGGAAGGGAGAGAGAAAGACAAAGAGAAAAATAATGAATTCATCCAAATCATCTGAATCACAATGTACAGGTAAAATTTGCTACTATCTCTTTTCTTCCCTACATGTCTTCTTGGAACAGGTTATAAGCATGTTAAAAAGAAAAACGGAAAAGTATTAAAGAGGTTTTTAAAAAAAGACAGAGAAAAAGAGAAAAATGGGGTGGGAAGAAGGGAGAGAGAAAGAAAGAGATTGACTAGAAGGTTATCTGTTATCCTGGAAAGCTTGTTGGACTCCAGTTCAGGAAGAGCTATTGGACTGCTGTTTCTGCTTTTTCTGCAAAACACTGCATCCCTTTGGGCAAGTTACCTCACTTCTTTGAGACTCACTTTTTTGTCTGTGTGTATTGGGAGGAATAGAGGAGCTACTAGTTGATTGCTAATGGCTAATGTTTTATGTGCCTAATTTACAGAGAGCTTGAAAAATGAGGCACTGAGAAAAGGAGAGCAGGAAAGAAACTAGAGAAGCAGAAGAAAAGAAAGGGAAAAGGAAGAAATAAAAAGGAGGAGCAGCCTTAGAAGATACAAAATTTTTCTTAACTAGAGACTTAGAAAGGAAAATTGTCCGGAGGGGAGAACCAAAGAAACAAAAACACAAACAAAAGGAATTATCTTTTGGAGAGTAGGCCTTTTGTATTAATAGTACAGGCTTTCCCTGGTAGGTGAGTGCTCTCAGAACCCATCTGCATCAGTGTATACCAGCTAGCATTGGTGTGAGAGGCTACATGGTGGAAGCTAAGTCCGGAGTTATGCCAAACAGGTGACCAGTGCTTCCACCATGGCAATGCATCTGCCCACACCTTGCTGCATGTTCAGCAGTTTTTGATAAAAAAATGACACGACCCCTGTGCTCCTCCTGCCCTATTCACCTGATCTCATCCCGAGCGACTCTTTTTTTGTTTTCCGGGATGAAAAAAGCCCTCAAAGGGAAATGTTTTACCGATGTGAAAGAGGTGAAACAAAAAACAGCAGAAGCACGAAAAGACATCAAAATTGATGAGTTTAAAGACTGTATTGAGTAGTGGAAAAAGCATCAGGATAGGTATAGTGCATCAAAAGAAGGTGACTGAAGTCTAAACACGTAAGACTAAATGTACAATTTTTTATAGAGAAACTCTGGGGCTTTGGGGGGGTCCCCGTTGAGTATCTGAGTTTGTGAATCAGAGTCTTTTTTGTAAAGATGTGGGGTACAATCCAGGAAGTCAGAGTCTTAAAATTAGTAATTAATTACTCCAGTGTTCTAAAAGTGTGGTCATCGGACCATAGCATCAGCAGCTCCTGGGATCCTGTTGGTTCCAATACTAGCTCTATTGACTTGTTAATTTGAGCATGAGTCTCAGCAGTCTGTGTTCCAACAAGTCCTCCAACTGATTCTGATGCATGCTAAAGTTTGTGAATTATTCAATACAGACCCTGGAAGTGGAAGGAAATAAGGAGGGATGAACAAGAATCTCTTCTCTTTTATATCTCGCTTAGGGAAGATTGACCATGTTTTGCCTCTTTCTTTCTACAGAGAGAGAGTGTCTCTCTTCCCAAGTGCTCATATGGACTGCTGCTGGGGTCTCCATACTATTTCTCAGTGCCTGTTTTATCAGCAAATGTGTGGGTGAGTTCTGAAGGTCAAATTCAAGTTAATTTTCCCTGGTGAATGTTAGGAGTAAATTCTTCCTTACTGTTTGTGCATTCTCTTCTCCCTCAAAATGTCTTTCTTTTTCACTCATTTCCCTATTCATCTCCAGGCTATTTCTCAAACCAGAAACCTCATCAAGTGGGGAATTGTTACCACATTTCTGTGACCTCTGACTTAATTTTCATCTCTTTAGTGATCTTGAGTCCTTTGTACCCCTCTCATTAGTGTAAACTGCTCTAGTAGTAACTTAAAGCTTGGACCACAGACAGAGAGGGTTAGACTTGGTATAAGAATGGGTACAAACAAATCTGTTTCCTCTGGGCCTTTGAGTCTGAAATAAAGTGTATTCTTTATAAATCAGGAAAACCACAAAAGTGAATTTCCTCTTCTAGCTTTGAATAGAGAATCACAGTTATAAATGTAAGAGAAAAAAGTAGGTAGTAAGAAACTATGGTCACTATTGGCACTTTGTTATGAATACAAAACAGAGGGAACTGATTTTTATCAAAAAAAGAGTAATTAATATTAACTGTGCTCCTGTCTTTACAGTGACATATCACATGTCTCAAATGTGTCATGAGAAAAATTTCCAGTCACACGGGAATGCCGGAGCGTTCTCCTGCTACAACAATGAATCAGGTATAACAGTCCTCAAAGCTGAACATCAAAATTTATGTATCAGCATTTTCTGGCTTCCAGATTGACTTTGGGATATGTAAAATATAGTTGAATTAGATCCAATTTTTCAAAAGCAAAATGTAAAATCCTGCCTATGCTGTAAGAGAATGATGAGGAATGTGAGTCCAGGAATAGAACTTGGAAATGCAATTAGTATTGGGACGGGATACATTGGGGACATCATAGCAAACTTTTAGAATAAAATTGAGGTACATGTCTGAACAGAAAATCTGTTCAGTAAATCTGAAGTGGAACGTGTTATTCCCAATAATGCACTTTTCCCCCCATTTACCTACTTCCAAAATAAGGTGAAGGAAAAAAATGTATAGAGTTGGAAATTTATAAAAACCTCAGAAATATACTCCCTATACTCTTACATGTCATCCTGTGGCAAGTCGTAGCAAAATGCTAAATGACACTTGGAAGCTGACTTCCTTCTCTGAGTTATAATTTTCTCACCATTAAATTGAGAGAGGGTCAGGCATGGTGGCTCATGCCTGTAATCTCAGAACTTTGGGAGGCCAAGGTGGGAGAATCGCTTGAGCCCAGGAGTCTGAGACCAACCTGGGCAACATCACGAGACCTTGTCTCTACAAGAAAAAAAAGGCAAAGAATGATCTGGGCATGATGGTGCATCCTTGTAGTCCCCAGCTACTAGAAAGGATGAGGCAGAAGGATCACCTGAGTCCAGGAGGTTGAGGCTGCATTGAGCCTTGATTGTGCAACTGCACTTCCAGCCTGGACCATAGAGTGAGAAATTGGCTCAATAACAAAAACAACCAAAAAACAAATTGAGAGAGATTGGACCTTTATTTTTCAAAGGCTTCAAAGACTAAAATTCTGTAATTCCGAGAACCCATTTGAACACCATAGTTTGGAGATTTGATTGGGGGTACATTGTTTATGGAACATAAGAAATGGTTGCTTAGGGGTCACCCAATAAAGTGCATATGACTTTCTCTAACCTTGGCAGCCTATGAACAGATAATAGGATTCTATGTCAATAACAGAACTGAGATAATTTGCATATTATAGTTTTACTTCCTGGCAGTGACATCTGGAGAGTAAAGATTGTGTTCAAAAGACAAGAATGTTGCTGTTTACATTTATTGACGTTGAAATGATCTAAAGTCTTCGATAGTAAGATTTGGGGCATGAACAAGGTATTTCAAGGCATCTGACTATAAATGATGAATTCCATGGGGCCACATCAAGCTTTATTTATTTATTTATTTATTTACTTAGTTCACCTGGGACACTTACTGAAACATTCCTCCTTCTAGAGTCAGTCCAGAATTGCTGTCCTTCAAACTGGAAGCAGTTTCAATTTAGCTGCTACTTCTTTTCTACTGACACCATTCCCTGGTCAACGAGTTCACAGAACTGCTCAGGAATGGGGGCTCACCTGGTGATCATCAACTCACTGGAGGAGCAGGTAACTAAAGTACAGACTCTTCCAGGGTCAATGTAACATGCTCCACAGGGTACGTCCCGTTCTCCACACATGGGCAAAGTATTTGGCCCTCGGTGACTATTTGTTAAATGAATGTACTAAAGTGCATGCTGTTTCTGCTACTTCTGTAAGTCACTATCTACTTCATTTTCATACCTAGAAGAATCTAAGTAAAAGAAAATTCCATGTGGAGTTGCTTTGGTTAGCCACGGGCGGGGGTTAGAAAAGAGAGTTGGGAGTTAATTTTAGAATAATCATTATGTTTATGAGCATATCACATAAAAGAAAGCAAGCAAACGTTGTCCATTACCTTTAAGTCACAATTAATAATGTTTTGTGCTAGAATATATACAGATTTGACTACCAGTAACAGCAGATAAGCTTTGGAGGAATGATTGAGAATCTGCTTTTCTGTTGAAGCCTATTTGTATTGGTTTAATTTTATGTTATGTCTATTTTGCCACAAAGAGGTCAGTAGATAATTCTTCATGATTTTACAATTTCATTTGCCTATCATCTTTAAATCAAGATCCTATTTTGTCTCTTTTAATAACAATTACCTTCTACATTTGTTCAGAACTGAAATAATTGATCTCCTATTGTTTTAATTGTGTGTCTTCCATAGGAATTTCTTCACCATGCAAAACCTAGATCCAGAGAGTTTTATATTGGACTGACTGACCAGGTGGTCGAGGGTCAGTGGAAATGGGTGGATGGCACGCCTTTGACAGAGTCTCTGAGGTAATTCCCCTCTTGTAGGAGAGTTGTACACTACCCTGGATCCTAAATGTGACCACTATTGAGAAGAGTTCTCAGAACCTCTTTCTGTTACATGACTATATCAAGTCTGTCGTTGGTGGCTTTGGATGCAGGAAGAAGAACTGGCATAGAAGAGCGAGAGAGAAGAGAAGCAAACACTATCCACCTGTCTCATTTCCTGGGATTGCCTCAAGAATAAAGGGGAAACATTAGATGAACATAAAAAGGAGATGAGAATTAATGAATCATTCACTGAGAATGCAGAAGAGACAAAGGGTGGTATTAAAAGTCTTACACTCCAAAACTGTAGTAAACGAGACAAAAATAGTAATCTGAGAAAGACAGCAGATTCTTAGGGAGTGCAAGTGAGAATCCCTTCACAATGTCTTTCTTCTTCCTAATGGCCTCACATCATTAGAGCACAGCATTTTGAAGTTTTCAAAGTTTTTTTTTTTTTTTTTCATTCGTTATTTCATTTTACCTACAGTACTCCTTTCTGGGATAAACAGGATTATTAACCTTTATTTAACATTTAAGGAAACTAAAGATCAGGAGGATTAAATGGCTTACACAGCTAGCAAATGGCAGTTCTAGGAGTGTAGCCCAGACGCTGTGATGCTTTCGAAACGTTGCTTCAATGCAGTCCTGTAACACCACTGCAAGACGCATCTTAGAGATACATACTCTGGGCAAAATAAAGAGAACCAAACCAGCTATGAGATATGAGTACAAAGAAAACAAACCCGCCAAGATATCAGTCTTTCCCATAATTTCTCATTCTGGATCTCAAACCGTGAAGGAGCATGATGGAAGAGAAAGTCAGCCAGACCCAGTCCAGCTTCAATACTCACAGACTCTGTGACTTAGACAAATAGCTTAGCTTTTCCAAGATTCCTTTTCTTCTTCAATAAATGGAAGTTATAAGACATTAGGTTGCTTTACCTCTTTTAACATCTCTCGTGTCCCTCTTTTTCAGCTTCTGGGATGTAGGGGAGCCCAACAACAAGGTTACTCTGGAGGACTGTGCCACCATAAGAGACTCTCCAAATCCAAGGAAAAATTGGAATGATCTAGCCTGTTTCCTCAGTGTTTTTCGGATTTGTGAAATGCCAGCAATGAATGTTTCAAAAAAACAAAACACTGCAAGATGATGAAGCAGAATTTAAAGGCGTAAGGGAGGAGGAACAAGAGCATGACCATACCCACAACCCCACACAGAAACGTGTGCCTTGCATGTCAAAGGACTTCACAAGTATTTGCTACTCAAATATACGTAATAAAAATAAGTCACCATGAATGCCACAACTCATGATACTGGCTGAAGTGCATTTTCTCTCTACGTCAGTCTTTTCCAGAATTTACAAAGTGATTAACTTGCAAGTGCTGCAAGAAGAAAGAAGATGCTCTATTTGGCTCATGTTTGAGTATTTATAGGAAACTACAGGGACACAGAGCAATGACAGAGTCCGGCAAAGAAGAAGATTTTGGAAAGTCCTTTTAAACCATTGCCTGTGTTCAGGCTCTGTGTCAAGTTGTCTTCTCTCTAGCTTCTGAAAAGTCTGTCTTTTTGATTTCATCTGCACTTATCTCCTGCTCAAGCATATATTATCCTCTCTGTGCCCTTCTGTGTGATACGTAAAAGCTTCTTCAAGTCATGGAACTTATTCCTGCTCAGAAGACTGGTGTGGCCTTCCCGGGCACAGGCCTTCATGTACCCACCTTAGGGCAGGGCGCTTTGACCTTCTGCTCCAAGCAGACTGTCATTGAGTCCACTCAACTCTGGGACTTCCTTTGCTGTCCATTCTCTTCGGCGTACTAACCAGGTCTCACCAGGATTTGTATCTATGGCTCAGCTAGGACCAGAGTCCAATAATTAAATTAATCTAAGAGAATATTTAACGTCACACTTTCCTGTCTTAAGTCTATTTGTTGCATAAAGTTCTATCAATACAGATACAGTTCTATCAATACAGTTCTATCAACAGTCAGGAGCATGTCAATAACAGGGCAGCTTTTCTAATCTTGTTTCTTGTACAGTGCTGTAAGGAGACTCAAAATTCACACATGGGAAGTAAAGTGTAATTATTGCACGGAAAAATCCAACTAGACAAGTGAACGTGATCTATTAGCTTTCTTTACAAAAGTTTATTCCTCTCAGGCATTGTGACAATCTTGTTTATTTATTTATTTTTGGAGTCAGGTTCTTACTCGGTTATCCAGGCTGGAGTGCAGTGGTTTGATCACGGTTCACTGCAACCTCCAACACCCGGGCCCAAGCGATCCTTTTGCATCAGCCTCCTGAATAGCTGGGACTACTGGCATGCACCACCACATCTAGCTAATTTTTTGATTTTTTGTAGAGACAGAATCTTGCTATGTTGCTCAGGTTGGTCTTGAACTCCTGGGCTCAAGCAGTCCTCTCTCCTGGGCCTCCCAAAGTGTTGGGATTACAGACGTGAGCCACTTTGCCCGGCTACAATCAGGCTTTGAAATCAACATGGTTTTAAGCCAAACATCATTCAACCTAAAAGTAATTTTAAACATGTCTTCAATTTTCTAATTCTCTTTTTTAAAAATTGTAAACACCAATGAGGAAACATTGAAAGACACCTGAAGTTTTTAGGTTCGTTGTTGTTTCCCTGAAGGTGGCTAACCCTCTCCCCTTATTGTCACTATAAGATAATACTTTTTAAAATCAATATCAACATTTGCATTGTTAAAATATGTAAATATTATTCACAGTTGAATCATGTACTGTATTATTATTAAATATTCTTAAACACATTTTGTTTTCATGCAGTTAATATTGCATCTTTTTTATATCTCACTAATTTTCTATGTACTGATATAATTCATCCTTAACTTTGTGGAATTGTACATCACCTTTCGATTCATTTCCAATGCATTCTATCCATCCCATGCTTTTGTTGGGAGAAGAAATATCTCTCTTGGAAAATAGTCTTCCTTTCCTGGTCTGAACTAAGATTGCTCTGATGGTTTGCCTCACAGCCATCATTTTGTTGATTTTTATGATTTTTTTGGAAAAATTTGCAATTTTAAGATATTTCAAATTATGATACAATACAATGAAACACTATTCACTTATAAGGAGCACAGTATAAAACAGTTTCTAGACTATACTGTAAAGTAAACAAAGCAAGATGTTTAAGAATATGTAGATAACGTTTCTATTAGTATAAAAATGTGGTTTATATATCACATATGTTTATATAGTATATTATCATATATATATGTTTATAATATATAGCATATAGCTAGTTTTTACATAGTACATATACACTTTATACGTAGTACCTATAGTATATATAAATAAATATGGAAATATATATAAGAAACTTATAATCATAGTTACTCCGAAGAGGCATTTAGGGGACTGGAGTTCAGGATGGGTTTGCCTTATTAGTGGTTTTACTGTTTGCCTTTTTGACACATATACATTACTTTTTGGAAAGTAAAAGCACGATTTAAAAATTTTTAAGTGTTTCAAGCATCTAAAACTATGATAATGTGCTAAAATAATGAGACTCTATTTTTATAAAATGACTGTTGCTGCCTGAAAGAAATTGTGAAGAATAGGCACAGTGTCGTGAGAGTTGAGAATAGACTGACAGAGACCAAGGGTGCATCGGGTGCATCTTAGTCCATTTTCTGTTGCTTACAGCAGAATACCTGAAATGGGGTCATTTATAAAGAAAAAAAATTAGTTATTATTATTATGAAGGCTGAGAAGTCCAAGGTCAAGGAGTGACCATCTGGTGAGAGTTTTCTTGCCGGTAGGGACTCTCCGCAGAGGTGGCTCAGGGTCTCACATGGTGAGGGGGCTGAGCGTGTAACGTGCCAGCTCAGATCTCCCTTTCTCTTCTTTATAAAGCCACCAGTTTTTCACCCATGATAACCCATTAACCCATTAGTCGACAAATGTACCAATCTGTTCATGAGGATCAGTACCTCATGATCTCTTCACCTCTTAAAGGCCCCACCTCTCGATACTGCCACATTGGGGATTGAGTTTTAACATAAGTTCCACCCACCATGGCAAGGTGAAAGCAGGGAGAACAATCCAAGGACCATTGCAATAATCCAGGTGAGAGAGAGGGAAGGTTGGTCTACAGTGGTAACCATGGAGGTAATAAGAGATGATCAGCACTGGGAGAAATAGATTACGTTTATAGATGTAGACATAGATGGATAAAATCACAAAGAAACCACATTGTATTGATAGTGAAATCTCTGTCAATACACAGTTTTATACAAATTAAAAATGGATGATATTAACTATACTAAGCTCATTAGTGTTTACGTAGTTATTTCAACAGGTTTTATGCTGTGTAATTTAGCGAACACGGCAAACACAATTGAAGGTATTTAGTACCACTTCAGTTAAAAGTATCAGCTTTTAACACACACAAACACATACACACACACACACACACACACACACGAATCATCACACATAATCAAACACGAATATTTCAAACACAGATAATTAATAACTTATTTACAAAGTAATACTGGTTTAAAAAATTGTGCTAGAGAAGTTATGTTAAAAAGCCATTGCTTAAAATTTTTCATCTTAGATCCAGGAAAAAAATTAGTTAATTGAAAATTTTAAGAAAGACCACCATGTTTTATTGAAATTGGATGTAAAACTGCTTCACAATGAATACTCCATACATTAGAAAAGCATAATTTATGGTTTTCTTGCTGATTTGAAATGAAACTCTGTCGCACCAAAGAAACGTATAAACAATGCCTACATATACATGAGTCAAAAAATGTGATTCTCCTGATTCAAATTAAAAATGGAAACACTAACACAATACGACTTCAAATAATTAAGAAATGTTATCTATCTGTTAGACAAGTGAGGAGGCCAAGTCACCCCCAGTAACTTTCCTGTGACACCAACAGGAACACATTTTATCTCTAGTGAAGCATAGATCAGGGCCATAATTCTGGCGTGTAGTGAACCAGCAACGTGAAGGTGAGCCCTTTGACTTCCCAAGGATTCTATTTGCTCAGCTAGAGAAGTGAAAGAGTTGGGTCAAGGTGGCCTGTAAAGGACATTTCCGCTCAAAAAGAAATTAAGTCAGCTTGAGACTTTCTGCTTTGAGAAGACATTTAGGGTAGAGTAAGAAGTAACTTCCTTAAAGGTATATGGGCCCTTTTTCTCTACCTGTACAAGACCATGATTTGGAACTATTCTATATTGTTGTTCTAGATAAATTTTGCTCATGGAATGGCAATATAATAACTGATATTTTAAAAGCCTGAAAATAAAGCATCAGACAATAAAAACGTTTAAAATCGTTAAGGAGTTTGCAATATTTAGGTTTTAAAAATGATACATCACGCCGGGCTCGGTGGCTCAGCCTGTAATCCCGCGCCTTTAGGAGGCTGAGGTGAGTGGATAGCCTGAGCCCACGGGTTCAAGACCCGCCTGGGCAGGCGAGACCTCATCTCTACAATAAATCAAAAAATTAGCTGGGCATAGTAGTGCACGCCTGTAGTTTCAGCTACTTGGAAGGCTGAGGAGGGAGGATCGCCGGAGCCCAGCAGGTCAAGGCTGCAGTGGCCGGGAGCGGGCACCGCACTCCCGTCTGGGCGACAGAGTGAGACTCCAACTCAAAAAAAAAAAAAAAAGATGCATCACTACCAGTTAGAATATCCCACCTTTGAATTGCAAGAGCTAAGAATCTGAGGGGGAGAAAAATGACAGAAAGATTGTATTATTGAAGCCATTCTGTTAGAAATGGATTCAGTGCATACCAATTGAAAACTAATCTCAAGAAAGCAAACATAATGAAAACTGATTTTCACAGGAAAGATAATTCCTTCCATCAAAATATACAAAATCTCATTATCTTAGTACACACACACACACACACACACACACACACACACACACACAGTATGTTGAATGAATCAAACAAAAACATACAAGACCATTAGGTCTAAAAACTGCTCTATGACCCAGCATGTTTTCTCTATTCCAATAATGCATGTGCATTCTACCCTACTCTAAATTAGAGCAGTCCTCGATTTTAAAAAAAAAACAGTTCTTTTCTATTTCCATCAAAAGGACCACTTTGTAGGCTCCTAGTTGATTGCTGTTCTAGGTATCTTTAAAATCCTACTTGTCTCAAAGTCACAAGGAAAATAATTCCAGGGCCATTTATCTTGGTTATAAACAAGAGCAACACAGCTGTCTTCCTGATAGTTATTAGATTCATTTTCATTCAAGAATCTGAAAAAAAAAATATATATATATATATAGAGAGAGAGAGAGATAGACACAGATACAAATATAGATATATAGATATAGATATAAACTTAGATTTAGATAGACATAGATACAGACAGAGATAGATTAGATAGGTATAGATGTAGATATAGATATATGAAGGGACAATTCAGAAAATATGCCCATAGCGAACAATTTAGAGCTGCATTTTCTAATACAATAGTTACTACTGCAAATGTTTGAGCACTTGAAATGTTTCTTCTCTATATTAAAGCATGCCTTAAGTGTTAATTGCTCATTATATTGTAAGGACTTAGTCTCAAAAAAGGATGTAAAAGATCTAAGTAATAATCTTATATTGATTACATGTTGAAATATGATTTAGAAAGAATTGGTTAAATATATTATTAATTATTAACACATTATTGGAATAAATTTCACTTGTTTCTCTTTATCTTTTTAGTGTGGCTACTAAAATGTCTAAATTGCACATATGGGCCACATGCGGTGCCTCATGCCTGTAACCCCAGCACCTTGGGAGGCAGCGACGAGAGGATTGCCTGAGGGGTTTGAGACCAGTCTGGGCAACTTGGCAAGAACTTGTCTCTACAG